TTGACAAGAATTATCTTCCTGGTGGAAACAGTCACATAAAAATAGAATTCAGTAAAGAATTGTAGGGTGGCACCTTGGAAAGGAGGATAATGAAAGAACATTAAAGCAGTATTAAAATACAGCCAAAAGCTTGTGCTTTTGAAAGAGAAAATAGAAAAAAGTCTTTGAGAAATATGAATGAAGAGTCTTCAACCAGCAAGAATGAGAAGTAGGAGAGACACAAGGAACATTAGCACGTCCACGAGCTACTAAAAGAAAACACACCCACCCTCTCCCCCTGTGACCAGCCACAAAGTATTCGCAACAGCGAAGTTCAATAAAAATGGACACTCGGTAGTAAAACTACATAAACCACACAAAGAAACAAGGAGCACATGAGGAAGGTGAGGACCTAGGCAGGCCCGCCAAGATGGAAACTACGCACCCTTCCAACGCCGGGGAAAGACTGGAACATGTTGTATGAGGGTCAGAAAGGATCAGCTCAAACTGTAGGCCAGAATAACACAAAAACTCCAAATAACGTAGACTGGTGTCTAACAGAGCTGCTTAAAAATTAATGACAAAAAATGAAATTAACGATTATCCAATAGGTTAGTAACATACAGTTAACAAACTAGATTTAAACAAAGAAAATGCTCTAGAGAGAAAAAAGTAACTATAAATATGGAAGAACGTCTATATAACATGAAGAACAAAGTTAGAAAATCTAATTGATGTCTAACTCGTGTGGAAGAAGCTTATACAGAAGATACTGAAAATACTCCTAAACTGTGGAAAAGACTGGCAATTTCAGATTTAGAAAGCCCAACAAACCACAAGCATTGTGAATGAACGAATGAATGAATGAATGAACGAACGAACGAATGAACGAACCGGATGTACAGGAAGAACTTTAAGCGGCCAGCTGACTTCCCATCAGCAACAGTGAAAGCTAGAGTCACGTTCTAAACGAAAGCCCTTGTGCCCTAAGCATTCTCTACGCAATGAAAACCTCTTTCCAGAATGAGAACAGAATAAAAGCATTTCACAGTAAGAAACAGTGAAGTGTCGCACAGCCTACCGACCCTATAACTAAAAGAAAGTCCGACACATGTATTTCAGATGGGAAATCACCCCATGTGAAAGCTCTGACATATAAAATCAGGCAGGCAGAAAACCAAAGTGAATGAGTAAACATGACCAGAAAATGTAGGGAAGAGTCAGTCCGCTTTGTGAGGAGAGAACAGGCTGGAAGTAATGAACCAGATGGAAACATCTTACTAGTCAAGTGTGCTGACCCATCAGTGGTGCCAAGCTTCCTTTCTTGTTCAAGATCGAGACTCTTACACTTAACTTTAGACGTTATTAACTCAAAAGCTAAACTGGGGTAACAACCAGTGACAACCTTCAGAAGAAAAAAGATAAAAGGAATGAAAACAAAATGATAAAAAAATAAACAAAACCAAAGATAGAAAAATTATGAAACTGGCTTTTAAAAAATCATTCTTTAATGTGGTATAAAAGCAATAAAAATAAAAAGTGGGGGCACCTGGATGGCTCAGATGTTTGAGCGTCTGACTCGTGATTTCGGCCTCAGATCATGATCTCCTAGTTCATGGGATCGAGCCCAAATCAGGCTCTGTGCTCACAGCTCGGAGACTGCTTGGGATTCTCTCTCTCTGCCTCTCCCCTGCTCTCATTCGCTCGCTCTCTAAAAACACAACACGACACAAGGATGAAGAGAAGTTGAAACTCACAAGGCTGTCAGAGAGGCGGACGAGGCAAAGGTACCAGGGAGCTGCAGTTTTCTTGGTACCGACGCAGGCAGATCGCAAGGCTAAGAGACACTCGCCCGTCAACAGTGGTACAGCCCGGCTCAGAGGAAGACCCACGTGTAAACTTGTGCCCTAACACAGTAGGCGCAGGGCAGGGGAAGCAGAATCTACCAGAATCATAAGGAGATCATACTCAGAGACCTGAACACACCTCTCAGGAGGTGACATTCAGAAAACAAAAAATTTGGTATCCGGGAGACAAAAACTGAAAAAAATAACAAGCAAAATGTGACAGACACATAGAAACCACCACAGGGGACAATTCCAAAACAGACGTCCTTTCAAACCCCTGCGAAGCACAAAAAAAGAAAAGACAAGAGACCACATTCCTGGCTCTACCCGCATCCCTCGCCACCTTCCAAAGATTTCTTATATAGATGACATTCTCTGACCAAATTAGAGCAGACTTAGAAAGATTATCCTCCCATGCAGAGAAAACTGCAAAAGTACTTTTCTAAGAAACTCACGAATCAAATAATGGGAAATAGAAAATTCTATGAACTGAATGTGAACATATTTAGAGAAAGCCACAAGAAATGTGTAGCCTTACATTTTATTTGAGAAAACAAAGAACCAGATACACAAGTTTATTATCTGATAAAAATTAAAAGTTCACAAAACAAGTACATCTTCTCCACCTAGAAACAGAAGGTAGGAAATGGCCAAGCCAGGCCTACGGGCCAATGAACCAGAGCAGACACAAACAAGAGCTGGTCACAAAAGGCAATTCTGAAGCTTTAAATATGTGAAAATGAATGCACAGCTGAAGACAGATCAAAGGGAACATCAGATACGGCACAAAAATATCAGGAATACACATTAGGCCACCCTGCAACAGTGTGCACACGTTAAAAGAATAAAAAATATACTATGATGGAACACCAATATGCTTGAGAAAAGAGAAATTCCTAAAAACACGTAACAGTAGCTGGGAAGCGGGAAATTAAAGCTAGCAAAGAAAAAGCAAAGCAGTGTTTCGCCACAGAAGAATATCACGTTTAAAAGGAAAACACTATTCTTCTTTTTTTTAATTTTTTTTTTCAATGTTTTTATTTATTTTTTTTGGGACAGAGAGAGAGCATGAACGGGGGAGGGGCAGAGAGAGAGGGAGACACAGAATCGGAAACAGGCTCCAGGCTCCGAGCCATCAGCCCAGAGCCCGACGCGGGGCTCGAACCCCCGGACCGCGAGATCGTGACCTGGCTGAAGTCGGACGCTTAACCGACTGCGCCACCCAGGCGCCCCAAGGAAAACACTATTCTTAACTAGAAGAGTTTCTCTGGTGCTAGACTGAGCCGATGATCCGTGTTAGTTACCATGGAGACTTCGGTTAGGACAGCGCAATGGCGTCCAGACCAGTGGTTCAGGGACTGGCCTCCATCCCTCCAGCAGGTGGAAAAGAGAGCAAGTCCCCAGCAGGCAGCAGGCCCACAGGCCCACAGGCCCAAGTGCATGTATGAGACCAGGGTCCCAGGATGGTTCGTAGGGGACCGGGAGCACAGAGCACCACTACAGCCGAGACCCTGCTCATCTCGGCGAATAAAGCCCGGTCCCCCAGCTGGTCAGTCCTGCAGCCACACTGGCCGGTGCAACACCAGCCCTCCTTCCCCTAGGTGTGAGACCTAGGCGTGAGGCGTGCACTGGCTCCGCCCCCACTCGGGGAGGGAAGCCTGCTTGCCAGAAGTTCGGGTGTGCTCGTGTGATCACTGCTCGTCCACCCAGCTCTTCCCTGACTGGACTGGGAGTGGCCTGGAGGGCTCCGGGGACTGTATCTTCCTGTCCCTGCGGGCTCCATCAGCCACCAGCGCGCAGGCACCAGGCAACCCCACAGCATCCCAACCACACCCCAGAACCCCTTAGCAGCTCTCCTCCCCAGGGCCGATGTGCCTGCTCTCCCGTGTAGAAATCCCAGGGCCCACAAGGCCACAGAGATAAGGCAGAAGGTGGGGGAGGGAGCCCCCCAGCAAGAAGAGGGGTGAGTGGGACTGGGCACCTGGGAGCTAGAAGCCTGCTCCCTCACACATGGTAGACTGAGAAGCGTCCTCAATCCTGACCCCTCACTCAGCCCTGAGGGGGTGTTCAAACACCTCTGAGATCAGACCTATTTCACACCTAAACAACGGGGCCAACACATCTGAAAGAACACTAGGGAACTCGGGCCCTCAGAGAAGCAGAGCCAAGAGCAGGACTCAAAGACCTCCATCCATCTCCACGTGCCGGAAGGCGTCTGAAAACACAGCCCCCGAGGCTCTTCCCAGAGCCGCTGGGGTCCCGGGTCCCGCTCACTCAGGAAGGTCCCGTCCTCATATGGACGACGGGTCTTCCGCTGGGGTGGTCGCTGGTGTCTCTCACATGGCAGTCCTCACACTCCCGACAGGGACGCGCTGTCCCCCAGAGAGCAGTGCCCCCAGTGTCCCCACACCAGCCACACACTCAAGAGCAACGGAGACAGTGAACACGGAAACACACACACAAATACGGACAGAAGTAGGAGCTCAGGCAGACACAGGGCTTCTCTCTGCTCTCAGGGCTGCTCTTCATCCCGGTTGTTCTGGGCGGACCACACTGTGCGGGCAGGTGTGCGCGGCCTAGCCAGACCCGCGGCTGCCGGGCCCCGGCTCGCAGCAAGGGGCCAGCCTGAGGCAGGGACGCCATAACCACTTCCGTCACTGCGCCACATCCAACCGCCTTGCACGAAGCATCCTCCTCCAGTGAATACGCTCGGCGAGCTGGATTCCCGTGGATTTGGACAAGCAGCGTCAGGGCTGCGAGCCAGGCCCCTCCCCACCTACTCGCTCTCTGTCCACACTGGTCCCGGCAACTGCTGTACCGCTAGCTCCACGTGTGGCTCTGCCCACCGACATGTGACCATGGACACAAAAGGGGGAACAGACAGAGCTCCAGGCTCGGGAGCCCACCCCACCCAGGTCCCGGTCAGAAACCAGGCTGCACTCCAGAGCCCCGAGCATCCCGCAACAAGAATGGGGGCGGGGGACGGTGAGAAGACAGACAGGGGTTCGCCCAGGGCAGGCTGGGCACAGAGCGAGGTGCTAGGCTTCAGCCACAAGATGAATCCTTGCTCCTTCCCACTTCCAGCCCCCAAGGAACAACAGCTCAGACACAGAGAGGAGGTGGACTGAGGCCGCCCCTCCCTCCATACCTGCAGTCCAGGGACGCCGTGCAGCTCTAGCTTCCTTTCCCGTGGCGCTGCCCCTCAGGGAGGCACGGCGAGCCTGCGGCCACAGCAGGTGGTGGGCCGTCAGCCTTGGGGACACACGGTGCGGGTGATGGGTCAGGCCTGGCTCCCAGCTCCTCTGTCCACCTCCCTGCCCCCGGCCCACCTCTCACTCACCTCGGATGGCCCAGCCCCGTCTCTCCCCACGGCATCCCCGGTGTTCCGCTGCTGGGGCTCATCCTCAGCAGGGTCCAGCTTCCGTGGGGGCTCCGTCTCTGCCTCGGGAAACGGCAGCTGACCCTGCAGGGTGTGCAGCAGCTGGAGGAAGGTCTGGTGCCTGCAGAGAAGAGGTGGCTGGTGAGGGAGGAAAACTGGGCCACACGGGGGTGTGCAGCCCACTCTCCCAGCCTCACCTCTGTAGCCTGTCCCGCTCCTGCCCCGCCTGCTGCCGTAGGGCTCCAAGCTCCTGATGCAGACGCCGGAGCTCCTGCTGGGCCCCCGTCTGCCGCAGCCTCACCTCCGCAGAAGCTTCCGCCAGCTGCTGCAGACGCTTCTCCTACCGGAGTGAGAGCAAAAACGCCTCAGCAGGTGTGGAGGTCCTTCAGCCACGCTCTTAATCCCCAGCCTAGGCACGACTTGGGGTGCAGACCCACAGAGGGAAAGAGGAACTCTACTCACTTTAGGGGAAACAGGGGCCTAGAGAGGTCTAGGGGTCAGAACGAGCTATTCTAGTGCAAAGTGTTCGGAGGAAGGGGGCACACAAACGAACGTTAGTCTGTGATGTGCCAAGTACTGTTTTAAGCACTTGCTATACTGATGACGTCATCCACCTGGCTTATGGAGTAGACAAAGAAACAGCACAGGAAGTCAGGGGACACCCAAGGTCCTAACACTGTCAGTGGCGAGGCTACGATTTAACTCCCTGCTGGTGCCCGAGCAGTGAGGGCTCACAGAGAAGGGGGTGAAGGTTTTCCGGGTAGAGGACGTGGGAAGAGGACCTGGCCCGTGGGGGGAGGCCTCACAGAGGAGAAGGGAATGGAGGTTTCCAGGGCAGAGGACGTGGCCAGTGCCGCGCAAGGGTGCAGAAGGGACACTCCCCCAGGGGCCTGGACCCACCTGGTGCAGCCGCCACTGCTCCTGGGCTGTTCTCAGCTTCTCCATGGCTGCTTGCTTCTGCAAAGAAGGGGAACAAAGAAGGAAGAGTGTTTCTCTGGTTGGATTGGGGAGGTGGCCAGGGGTCCACCCCAGCGTGCCTGCCCTCCTCTCCCTCCTCCTGGCCCCACCTTGGCCTGGAGCTGTTCAAGGGCTTCCTGGAGCTGCGCCCGCTTCCTCTGGGCCTCCTCCATCCTGGGCAGGGCCAGGCTCAGGGCCCTGGTGATGGCCTCCACATGCTCTTGGTAGGTGGCCTTCAGCTCTTTCCACTGCTCCTTGGCAGCAATTGCCTTCTGCCCTGAAAGGAGCCACCGAAGACAAGAACAAAGATGAGACTGGCCTGCCTGTCTGCCTGCCACACTGGGGCCTCCGTCCTCCCATCAGCCAAATTGCTGACCTGACACACCTCCACCCCAACCCCCTTCCTGCTCACGGCTGGCGTCTTCAGAAGCCAAGGGCTCTGGTCCCTGGGCAGTGTCCTCCCGAGCCAGGAAGTTCTGCAGGAAGTCTACCACCTGCAGCTGGCTGCACAGCAGCTTGTCTTTCTTCCGGGAGTCCTGTTCAGAGAGACGGCAGAAGAGGGACGTCTGCCGAGTACCCCCACGAGGGGACCCCGGAGCTTCCCTAGCTCCCAGGCTTGCCCATACCATCACAAACTCCGCCAGGAGCTGGGCCGGCAGCTCTGCCTCCTCTTGCAGGCCTGTAGGCTCCAGGATGTGTGCCAGCTTGCCCAGGGCCCTGCCGGGGCAAGAAAAAGGGGAAAATTGGACACTCCTGGGGCGCTAGTCCTGGCCGACCTGTGCGCACGGATGCATTCGCAGGTGCGCAACAACGCTGGGTCTTGCCCTAACCAGAATCTACAGGAAGGTCTGCAGTGCTGTCTGGGGATGGAAGGGAGAGTAAAAACAAGCAGAGCAGGGGGAGTCAGGATAAGGGGCTAGGATCTTAGGCAGAAAAGGTCTCACGGAAGAGGAACCACTGGGTGGAAGGTCTGAAGGCCATCAGGGAATACGGGACAGGGAAGGAAAGGGGCAACGCTCCGATGGGCAGGAGGGGGTCTCGGGCAGGGGACACTTGGGGGCGGGGATCGGACAGAGAGCTGGGTGCCTGCTCTAGGCTCTGCGAGCCGCCTCACCAGCAGGCAGGGGTGAGGGTAGAACAGTCTCCCGAAGAGTGCGCGCTGACACAGGCCAGACCAAAATTAAGAGACCCTCCCAGACATCTGATGCCTGGGCGGTGTTACCCGCTAGGGGACGCGGGGTCCTCAGGGATGGAACGGCCTCCAGGACCCAGCTGGGTGGCATGCAGGGAGGGGGGAGATGCCTGCCTGCACGCCCCGCGGCGAAGTCCAGGGACTCGGGCTCCGCAGGGATGGAGCGGCCCCCTGGACCCAGCCGGGGTGCGTGCAGGGAGGGGGGTGCCTACACGTCCCGCGGCGAGGTCCAGGGACTCGGGGTCCGCAGGGATGAAGCGGCCCCCGGGACCCAGCCGGGGTTCGTGCAGGGAGAGGGGGGTGCCTGCCTGCACGTCCCGCGGCGAGGTCCAGGGACGCCGGGAGTACGCGGGGTCCCGCAAGGTCCTCCCAGCCCGCCCCCGGCGGCCATCCGGCGGCACACACTCACTCTAGCGCGGGGCCCCGCACCCCGTCTTCCGCCACCTCCATCCTGCCGACGGCGAGCTCCCGCTCTTCCGCCTCCAGCCTTCAGTGAGCTTTGAATTCGCCGCTGTTAGCACCGGGGCAGGCGATTGGCTACCGCGTCAGTGGGCGGGAAGCGAGGGTCAGCGTGCACTCTGATTGGCAGACGCCGACGAGCCGTTGGAGTGACGGCTGTTTAGCGCCGGCGCGGTCTTGGCTGGGCGTGGCCGGCGCGCCGGCGCTCTGCGCCTGCGCGCGCTGCCCGTAGGCGGTGCTGGAGCCTGGGGGCGTGGTGTGGGCCGGGCAGAGTAGTTGAGCTGGTTTTAGTCCAGCGGGAGACCGACGGCCAAGTTTGAGTTTGGGCTCTGGGGAGACACTCGGCATCCAGTTGGTTTAAACTATGTTGAGGTGAAGGAAAGCACTGGGTCTACCTCCCCAGATGCTTGGCCTCAGTCGGGAAGAACACATATCCCGGAGGAGCAGCGGTCTTCGGGCGGGGGCCGGGGGCCGCCCAGGAGGTGGGGGTCCGCCCACCAGTCGGCCGGGGTCCGCCCCCCGGGCCCTCCCGGAACTGGCTCAGGGAACGTGGAATAAACAGCCGGGGCAGTTTCCTCCCATCAGGATGGGAGCCTCAGCGGCCGCGGGCCCTGCGCTGAGAGATCTGACCGGTGTGCCTTCGCGGCAGGGAGCAGGTAGCGCTGGACTGCTAGCACATCACCAAGTAAGTGGCAGGCCAGAGCAAAGTAATATTTATAGAAACAAAAATGTCCAGCTGCCAGTGTCACACAACTTACAGTGTCCAGCAGCCAAATAAAAACTACCAAGTTTGCAAAAAAAGAGGTAAAGAAAATCCATAATGAGAAGTAAAAAAAAAAAAAAAAA